ATATAATGAACATAACAGTGTGAGGAATACGGTAGACCCAGAAACATGGAAGTAGGGAACAGACTGACATCCCTCAGGAGAGGGGTTGGGGGTGGTGGTGGGAAGAGATAAACCACAGAACTTATATGCATGTATGCATAACCAATGGACATGGACAACAAAGCCGGGGATGGGGCGGGGGAGGGGGGAGGGGAGGAGGGTGTCAATGGGGTAAAAAAGGAGAAACATCTGTAACAAAAAAAAAAAAATTAAAAAATAAATAAAAAAATACAACTCAACACCAGGAAGGCAAACAATCCAATTTAAAAATGGGCAAAGGACCTTAATAGACACATCTCCAAAGAGAACATACAGATGGCCAATAGACATAAAAAATGCTCAGTGTCACTAATCATCAGAGAGATGCAAATTAAAACCTCACACCTGTCAGAATGGCTACCATCAATAAATCAACAAATAACAAATGCTCACTGGCAAGGGCGTGGAGAAAAGGGAACCCTCGTGAACTGTTGGTAGTAATGCAGACTGGTGCAGCCACTAAGGAAAACAATATGGAGTTTCATCAAAAAATTAAAAATGGAACTGCCTTTTGACCCAGCAATCCCACTTCTGGTAATATATCCTAAGAATCCCGAAACACCAACCAGAAAGGCTATATGCACCCCTATGTTCATAGAAGCACTATTAGAATTGCTAAGATCTGGAAACAGCCCAAGTGTCTATCAGTAGATGAGTGGATAAAAACACTAAGGTACATTTTTACAATGGAATACTGCACAGCTGTAAAAAAAAAAAGAACACTTACCTTTTGCAACAGCATGGATGGAACTGGCTGGAGATCATTATGCTAAGCGAAATAAGAGATTTAGAGAAAGACAAATAACATGTAATCTCACTTATACATGGAATCTAGTAAACAAAATAAACTGACAAACAAAATAGAACCAGAGGCATGGATACATGGAACAGATTGACAGAGGTCAGAGGAGAGGGGGAGGAGGAACTGGATGAAAGAAGGTGAAGAAATTAGCCAAAGTACCTATATGCATAGGCCATGGACACAGACAACAGTGTGGTAATGGCCAGAGGGAGGGGGGGTGGAGGCTGGTTGGAGGTGGGTAAAGGTGGGGAAATGGAAAACATCTGTAATAATGTCAACAATAAATAAAAAAACAAACAAGAAACTGTGACTGGGAACCACTCCCAGAGATTCTGGCTAATTGGTCTGTGATGGAGCCTATATTGGTATGTTTTAAAAATAACTTAGGTCTTTGTAGTGTAGCCTGAAATCTGGCAATGTGATCCCTCCAATCAAAACAGCCTGGTACTGGCACAAGAACAGGCAGATAGATCAATGGAACAGAATAGAGAACCCAGAAATGGACCCAAGGCAATATGCTCAATTAATATTTGACAAAGGTGGCAAGAGCATACACTGGAGTAAAGACAGCCTTTTTAATAAGTGGTGTTGGGAAAATTGGGCAGCTACATGTAAAAAAAAAAAAAAATGAAACTAGACCATCAACTTACACCATACACAAAAATAAACTCAAAATGGATAAAAGACTTAAATGTGACCAATGAATCCATGAAAATCTTAGAAGAAAATGTAGAAAACAAAATCTCAGACATCACATGCAACAGAATTTTCACTGATAAAATGCCTAAGGCAATAGAAACAAGGGAAAAAATGAACACATGGGACTACATCAAACTAAAAAGCTTCTGCACAGGAAAAGATACAATCATCAAAATGGAAAGGCAACCCACTCTATGTGAGAGCATAATTGCCAATGATATATCAGATAAGGGGTTAATTTCCAATATGAATAGAGTGCTCCTACAACTCAACAAAAGGAAAACAAAGAACCCAATTAAAAAATGGGCAGAGGAACTAAATAGACACCTCTCCAAACAGGTCATACAAATGGCTAAGAGACATATGACGAAATGCTCACCATCACTAATCATCAGAGAGATGCAAATTAAAACAACAATGAGATATCACCTCACACCTGTCAGAATGGCCGCCATCAACAAATCATCAAACAACAAGTGTTGGCGAGGGTGTGGAGAAAAGGGGACTCTAGTACACTGCTGGTGGGAATGCAGACTGATGCAGCCTCTATGGAAAACAATATGGTGTTACCTCAAAAAGTTAAAAATTGAACTACCATTTGAGCCAGTGATCCCACTTCTAGGAATATACCCTAAGAAGCCTGAAACACCAATCAGAAAGAATATATGTACCCCCATGTTCATAGCAGCACTATTTGCAATAGCTAAGATCTGGAAACAGCCCAAATGTCCATCAGTAGACAAATGGATAAAAAAGTGTGGTACATATACACAACAGAGTACTATGCAGCTATAAGAAAGGAAGATCTCTTATCCTTTGAGATGACATGGAGGGACCTGGAAAGCATTATCCTAAGCGAAACAAGCCAAACAGAGAAAGACAAGTATCATATGATCTCATTTATTTGTGGAATATAATGAACATAACAGTCTGAGGAATGGGGTAGTCCCAGAGACGTGGAAGTGGGGTACAGACTGACAATCCCCAGAAGAAGGGGTGGTGGGGGAGAGATATACCACAGAACTTCTATGCATGTATGCATGAACAGTGGACATGGACAGCAAAGCTGGGGACAGGGCAGGGAGGGAGGGGGAGGGGGAAATCAATGGGGGAAAAAGGAGAAGCATCTGTAACAAAAATAAATTAATTATTAAAAAAGTAAATAAAAAAACAAAAAATAAAATAAAAATAAATATTTTTGAAGATTTTACAATAGAAAGTCCTACACGCTTTTTGCAAAAATTAAGACAATATATATATAAAGAACCTGAAACACTAATTCAAAAGAATATATGCACCACTATGTTTATTGCAGCATTAATTACAATAGCCAGGATTTGGAAGAAACCCAAGTGTTTATCAGTAGATGAGTAGATAAAAAAGCTCTAGTGCATTTACATAATGGAATAGTACTCAGCCATTAAAAAAAAAGGAAATTGTACCTTTGGGAACAGCATCGATGGACTTGGAGAGTATGATGCTAAGTGAAATAAGCCAGTCAGAGAAAGACAAGTACCATCTGATTTAATATATGTGGAATCTAATGAACAAAATTAACAAAGTAGAGACAGACTCAAGGATACAACGAATAAACTAACAGCTGCCAGAGGGGAGGGTCTTGGGGGCTTGGTGACAAGGGTGAAGGGATTAAGCAAAGGAAAAAATGAAAGACTCATGGACACAGACAATAGTGTGGTGATTGTCAGAGAGAAGGTTGGGGGGAGGTAGAAGGAGATAAAGGGGGGTAAATGGTAATGAAAAGAGACTTGACCTGGGGTAGTAAACACACAATACAGTATACAGATTATGTATTGTAGAACTGTATACCTGAAACCTGTATAATTCTGTTAACCAATGTTACCCAATAAATTAAATAAATAAAGTTAAAAGACAATTGTACAAAGAGCAAAATGTTAAATTTTCTCCCTTTGTTTCTTTTCTAGCTCCACTTTTAAAAGTTAATCACTTTTTGCCCTGGCCAGTTTGGCTCAGCGGTTAGAGCGTCCGCCTGCGGTCCAGAGAGACCCGGGTTTGGTTCCCGCTAAGGGCACGTACCTCAGTTGCAGTTTGTCCCCGGCCCTGGTTGGTCATGCGGGTGGCAGCCACTCGATGTGTCCCTTTCACATCGATGTTTCCCTCTCTCTCTCTTCCTCTCTCTCCCTCCCACTCTGTCTGTACAAAAAATGGAAAAATGTCCTCGGATGAGGATTAAAAAAAAAAAAAAGTTAATCACTTTTAAATTTAATTTATATTTTCCATATTTTTGTATGTAGTGTATATTTAATTTTTGTTAGTGTTGGGAATTGGATGTATTGTATTTATTGTTCTGTACCTTTTATCCATTTAATATATCATTGTAATTTTTCCATAAAAGTATATAATCTTTAGAATTTAAATAGCTAAATTGCAAGCAAATTTTGATGTTTTGTGATTTATACCCTATAGATAAGCTAATAAACTCTGGCAGAATACATTGCAGCTGTTAAGAACTTTAGATAGAAGTATGGACCTCAAGTATAAATCAAGAAAGTTTTAGTATGTGTTAATGACAGTGAGAAACACTACAGCATACATTCTAGATGTTAGTATATCAACATTCTTTTATAGTTTTGGGGGTCGTGTGAGACTGATTTGGCCAGATGAGTGTGCTAGTGTTTGTATGACAATGGAGGACATTTGCCCATCATGGGCAGAGTTTGTTGGTTATTCCATGGGATTTTTTTAAATCCTCTCCAAAGGATGTGTTTTTATTGGTTTTAGAAAGAGAAAAAGGGGAAGAGAGAGATGGAGGGAGGGGGTGGAGAGAAAGAAAGAGTAACATCAACGTGAGAGAGAAACATTGATTGGTTGCCTTCCATACCCACCTCAACTGGGGATTGAACGCACATCTTAGGTATGTGCCCTGACCAGGAATCGAACCCACAACATTTTGGTGTACAGGACAGTGCTCCAACCAACTGAACCACCTTGCCAGGACGCCATGTGTTTTTTTAGATAATATTGGGGTAACAGGTCCAGATAAGTGGCAGTCTTAAAACAGTACCTTTCTTAGGATAGTCTGCTATAAAACACAAAATTCCAAGGCTGGATGTTTTCATCCTGCCTGTCATTATTGGTGCCCCAAGTCATCTAATGATGCTCATGAAGTCACTGGTGCCCCTATAACTCTTGCTTTGGAATGGTACTGCCTAGACTTATCATACTAAAGAAATAACTCCTGTCATGTCAGACATTAGAGGCAGACTTAAGATGCCCATATTAAATTGCATACTCAATAAGCAAAACTATTACCATAGTAGTCCCACAAGCACTCCAATTTGAGGTGATATGTGAAATAATACATAGTTGAAGAATGAAAATGATACCTGCAAATATTCATTAATGGGATATATAGTTTCATCTCCCTTTATTTTATTCATAGGTACAACCTGGAATGAACAGGAAAAGGCTGAACTTTTTACAGATAACTTTTGTAATGTATGCGGAGTGGTGCTACAGTTTGAATCACAAAGGATTTCACATTATGAGGTAGGTTAAAAAGAATGGAAAAAGAGCCCTGGCCGGTTTGGCTCAGCGGTTAGAGCGTCGGCCTGCGGTACAGAGAGACCCGGGTTCGGTTCCCGCTAAGGGCATGTACCTCGGTTGCAGTTTGTCCCCGGCCCTGGTTGGTCGTGCGGGTGGCAGCCACTCGATGTGTCCCTTCACGTCGATGTTTCTCTCTCTCTCTCTCCCTTCCTCTCTCTCCCTCCCACTCTATCTGTACAAAAAATGGAAAAATATCCTCGGGTGAGGATAAAAAAAAAAAAAAAAGAATGGAAAAAGAGTCTAAAGTAGGTTTTTAAATGTAGCAGGTAAACTTCCTGTTATCTTTTTTGATTCTGTGAAGCAGGTGGTATTATTTCCCTTTGATGAATAAGGAGACTGACTCAGAGAGAGACAGTAACTTATTAGCTTAAGTTTGGGGAACTGGAGTTTAAACTCGGTCTATTTTTTACTAAAAAGATTGTTTTACTTTCTTCACACCATTCAGTATCTCTTTGTATTCATCAAGCCACTACCATATCCTTCATATCTTCGTAGTACATGTAAGGAAAACTGTTAATATGAATGAAGGGATATTATAGAACTCCATAGTCTTCCTTTACAGTCAATGAAGGCTATAAAAACAAAATGAACCAGTCTTGCACTTGGCTTAGCCATGTGTTTTCAGGCACAGAACCATATAATTCTAGAGCTAGAAGATGGAAAATTTAATGTTCTTACTCTTTTGGTTTATTGATTAGAAAACTGAGACCCAGAGGGATAGTGATTTTCCATAGCTAGCATTGGCATGGCTAAGCTTAGAAATGGTTTCTTATGATTTCATATCCAGTCTTCTTTCGTTTGCTGTTACCTCTCATTTCTATGTCATATAATGAGCCCTTGGAATTTTTTCGTATCTGGTATCTGGGTTACTAAAATATTAGATACATTTACTTAAGAGAAATAGAATGCCAGCTCTACTTTTTAAAACACCTTATCCCATTTTGCCCATTACAATTCTTATTGGCAACTATGTTTAAGTCCTTATCTTTATTAGGATTAAATTAGTATAATTACAGATAGGGAAATTGTGTTGCATGTGAATTGAGAGGAATTAGGATCAAGTCTTAACTCTATCATTGTTGTGTAACCCTGAGCAAGTCACTTTACCTCTCTGAGCATGTTTCTTGAACCTGTAAAATGGAGGTGGTAAAATCTCTCTTAGTATACTTGTGAGAATTAAATGAAATAAAATCTATGAGTGTGCCTAGATCATCCTCAGACTCCATAGCTCAAAGATTCAGAGTTAGTAAAGAGAGACACACAATCCAGGGCTCTGTGATAATAGTGGTTGGAACCATTTGGATTTAAATTTGAAAAGTGGCTTTTTATGGGCTTATGGAGTGCTATTCAGTGGAGAAAGTATACTTAATATGAGAACTAAAAATCAATCATAATTCTATCACTTGTATCATTTGACTTCTCTTTTGCTTATATGATTCCAGTATGCTTTCTGAATACACACGTGACACATTTTTATAAAAGAGAATTGTATATATTGTTTTGTACTTGTTTTTTTTTTTCATCTAAGAGCATATTTTGGACGTTTTGTCCTATCATTACACTTATTTCTTCTTTCATATTTTTAATGGCTATAAAGCACTATATTACATAATGTAGCATATTTTAAAATGTAAATTCCAGTGACAACTGTAAGTTTGGTGCTTAAGCTTGTTAAATTGTTGAATCAAAGCTATGCATGACTTCCCATGTATTTGAGAAAGGTGATGTTTTTTCCTCTTTAATATATGTAATATTGATTAACTGTTAGACTATCTCAGTATATTATTTATTGTACATATAAAATAGAACAGTTCTGCAAGAGTTGAATTTTAATGAGATTATGCTTCTACATGTTTAAGAAACCATTCTCTGTACTTTTGCCATATACATACCCCCTTTGTTTTCTTCTAATACTCTTAAATTTTTACTTCTTACGTTACAGTGTTTAATCTATCTGGTATTTATTTTCACATATGGAGGATGGTAACAACATTTAAAAAAATACAGATAGCAGGTGTTCCAACCTATTTATTGTACAGTCCATCCTTGCCCCACTGACTTGTAGTGACACCTCCATCATATACTAATTTTTCATATATATAATATATATGTGTGTGTGCATTATTAATTTTGTTTGATTTCATTGCTCTGTTTGCCTGTCTCTTCAGTAATTTCATGCCATTACTATAGATTTAAAATAAGTCATGGTATCTGGTAGGGGAAAGTTTATAAGACAAAAATGTCATCATAAAAGTTAAAAGATAAACCAAGATTGAGTGGTATTTATAAACCATATAACTAACAAAGGATTAGTGTCTAAAATATATGAGACTATATATCAATTAGAACAAAAAACAACCCAATAGAGAACTAGGAAAGTAATATGAACAGGATATAGAAGAGATATTCAGTTTCACTAGTAATCATACAGGACATGCAAGTTAAAGTGATAATGAGCTATCTTATCAAAACCATAGTGCTAGCAGAAATTAACATCTAATAGCACTTAACATTTCAGAATAATATAGGAAGGCAGAACTACACTCATATACACTGCATTTGGAGTTGAAAACTGCTTCAACATCTTTGGAGAGAAATTTTATAATACTTATTTAAAGTTGAAAAATCTTTATACCTTGTAAGCCAAGAATTCCACTTCTAGGTATCTACTTTAAATAAACTCTTTGACATGTATATTAGAAGATGTGTGTACATATATTTAGTGCAGAAATGCTTGTAATAGCAAAATAAACATAACTACCTTCAGTAGCATATAGAGTGGAATATTATCATGCAATATGTAACATAAATAAACCACAGCTATATGGATCAATACGGGCAAGTATTAGAAATATAATATTGTTATAAAAAACAAGTTGAGCCCTGGCTGGTTTGGCTCAGCGGTTAGAGCATCCGCCTGCGGTCCGGAGAGACCCGGGTTCGGTTCCCGCTAAGGGCATGTACCTTGGTTGCAGTTTGTCCCCGGCCCTGGTTGGTCGTGCGGGTGGCAGCCACTCGATGTGTCCCTTTCACGTCGATGTTTCCCTCTCTCTCTCTCTTCCGTTCTCTCCCTCCCACTCTATCTGTGCAAAAAATGGAAAAATGTCCTCGGGTGAGGATTAAAAAAAAAAAAAAAGTTGAAAAAGGATATGAATAGAATGATTCCATATTCATAAAGTTTTTTAAATGACAATAGTATATAAAACTGTTTATGGGTGCATGCATGTGTAGTACAAAAATAGAAGCATGAAGTGGTTAAGATAGTGGTTACAGCAAACCGGTGTGGCTCAGTGGATTGAGTGTCAACCCATGGACTGAGAGGTCCTGGTTCAACTTCCAGTCAGAGCATATGTCCAGAGTTGCAGGCTCGATTCCCAGTGGGGAGTGTGCAGGAGGCAGCCGATCAATGTTTGTCTCTCACATCAATGTTTCTCTCTCTCTCTCTCCCTTCCTCTCTCTCTCTACAAAATCAATAAGAAAACGCAAAGAAATAAAAAGATAGTGGTTATATATGAGGATAGAGCATGGAGGAAAGGATTATGAGCATAAGGAGATAAGACTGCATATGTATAGTTGACCTCTTTTAAAAAGGAAATCTGAAAGAAATATAGCAAAATATTAGCATCTGTTAAAACTGGATGGTGGGTATGGGCTTCAGCTATGTTATTTTCTGTGCTTTTCTATATTGTGGTTATATTTTACAATTTAAAATTCTGTAGAGAGAAAGTGAATTGCCTGACAGTATGTGCTCAGGAATATTAGCCCCCCTTTTACCTACACCAGCATTTTGGGGGCTCTTATATATTTTGTTACACCTTTTTTTTTCCAGAGATTTTTCTAATATGCTTAATCTAGAAGGGTTCATTTCCTTCCATAAAATAATTTGAGAGGTAGGCAATGCAGGGTGGATATGACAGCTCCATGACATCATTAGGGACCCAGGCATTTTCTGTCTTTCTATTCTGATGAATTACTTTCTGTCCTCAAGATCCCCTATAGTCCCAGATGACTGTTGGAACTCTGACCTTTACATAGGAGGAGGAAAGAAGGTCAGAAAAAGGGCTCATTCCCCAGCCAGTTAAGGAGGCTTCCCAGAAATTTTACCCAACACTTCAGGTTACAGCGTATTGGCCAGAATCTAGTCACATGGTTATATCTTGCTGAAATGGAGGCTGGAACATGCAGTTTTTCAACTGATTATATTGCCCAAGATGTATAACTAAGAAAGAAGAAGAAATTTGATATTAGGTAGCAACCAGGGGTCTCTGTCAAAAATAAGATCCTAAATGTTATTGGCCTCTAAGTTATAGTATTATTTTCATTTTCACTGGGACTTAGATATTTGAAAACATGTGAAGCTCTTTCATAAACTTGGTACGCACCAAATAAATTACAGCTCACAAATGCTGTCCTCAAATCCAAAGAGGTGTAAATTTGGAGTGCCTTCAATTATTGAATAAACAAAGTCATATATTTTTACAGAGTGAAAAACATGCTCAAAATGTTAGGTTCTATTTTCATATGTATGGAGAACAAAATGAAATTCCTAGTAACAAAATGAAGATGGATGTTAGAAGTTTCCAGGCAAGTGGTCTGTGTTGATGTAATTCTAAATTTTGAGTTATTGAGTCTTTCTAATAAGATTATGTTTATTTCAGGTGCATAAGAATGAAGTAGTAGACAGAAACAAATTTTGTGATCTCTGCAACATGATTTTTAGCTCTCCAGTTGTTGCTCAGTCTCACTATGTGGGGAAAGTCCATGCTAAAAAATTGAAGCAATTAATGGAGGAGCATGATCAGGTATCTCCATCAGGATTTCAGCCAGAGATGGGTAAGATTACATTTACTTCATTAGCTTCAATACAGGGTCTCTTTATCTTTTTTTTTTTCCCCAACCCTGCCCTCCATTTTTTTTTTCAGAGAGATTTTCCACTCCAGGGCAATATATTGATTCTTCTTCTTCTGCCCAGTTAATCTATTTCTGTGTTCTTGTCATTTACTATGGAGATTATAATTGTTAGCTGTATTTTAAAAAATGTTATAAACTCTCCTTTTCAGTTTATTAAATTCAAAAGCAAGTGATTATCTATGCCACTACAAAGAAATAATAACTAGCCTGATTATATACTTTCTAATCAAATTATGAAATTCTAGCTCCTTACTTCTTTTCATTGGCATCTGTCTCATTCTCTTTTTTTCCTTTAGTACTTTCCAGAACATTAGCTCATATGTGGGTTCAGACCCCATAATATAGTTATGATGCAGCATGTTCTAACTATAACTGTAGGCAAAAATAAATAAATAAATAAATAAATAAATAAATAAAATAAGTTATATAATCTCCTTTTACCCTGACAGCTCATTTCTTTCTTCCTATGAATATAAAGAAAAAATATCACTAGCATCATCAATTAGTAGTTATTGAGTATTGATTTTATGCTAGATCCCAAAGATACAGTGAACTGTAAAACTTTGCCTCTTTCCTCCTTCCAGTGATGTTGGGCCATGAGCACACGAGAGATCTGACCCAAACATCTCACTTCTGGCCTGAGGTGGCAGAGTACACCCTGGAAAACCTAACTTGTACTTTGAAAAATTTGTGTGCTAGAACATAAAATAAGATAATTTACCACATTTTCACTAGCTTCAACACTTTAGGAATATGACACGCTTGGCGTGGAAATTTACCAACATTAGTTTCCAACTGATATTGTAGGCTTCATCCAGCATTAAAACATATTGTCTTAATAAATTGAACCAAATTTAGTTTAAAGTTTATTCTTGTCTCTCTAATTTTTATATTTTTTGTTTTCCTGCCTGTCTAAAGAGGGCCAGAGTCAGTGTGCCCTACAAAAGAAAGCATCTTATAAAACCTTATCTTCAGTCCCCCAAACACATCAATTTGGGCTCAGAGAGGAGACTAAATGAAAGAGTTCTGCAATAACTATAATTGTGAAAGCATATAATTTTATAGCCTTAAACAACTGCATAAATTTTATTTTGAAACAGACACAACGAATCTAGACTGAATACATGACTTACTCTGCTACTCAAGGACACCAACTTAGTATTTGGTACCATCTGTTTTACCCTCACTAATTTCAAGAACCATCCTAAGATATCTTTCATGCTTTCATTTATTTTTCCAATTAATATTAATTAGTCAATGTCTCATGCCGAACATTCTGTCCTGTATCTTTGGTGGAGAAACTTCGTGACAAAGTTGTATTCAAACTTTCTTTCTCACAGAAGGCGATTCTTTTTAACCTGAGTGTGGAAAAAATCAAAGGACAGTGGGTTTTAAAAGAATTCTAAATTCCCATAATAATTTATAAACAATGCAGTTCTAATAGCTGAATGCATGTTGATCATTTCTCATTATGACTATTTCGGCAGGTGTGCCTGTTACTGCTTCTGCAGAGTCAACTTTTCTGAAGCCCCTTGCAGTCAAGCCTCCTCCAGGTGGGATTAAAGACAAGACTATGCCTTCCTCTTCCAGCACTGTTTTGGATTTGAATAATCCAAACAAGTATTGCAAGCTCTGCCCTGCTTCCTTTAATAGTCCATTAATGGCCCAACAACATTATGTTGGGAAAAAACACAAAAGAAATGAAGCTAGAAAGAAGTTTGTAGACAAGATAAGAGAGAAACCTCTTCTAGCAAAATCAGATGCAAATGGTAAACAGTAAAAATATCAAAAAACTCTTTCATAGGAAGTTTATAATTTTAAACACATACTATCGGCTTATGTATATACAGTTTTACTCTTATTGAATAGGAGGTTAATAGTACTCATGGGGTAATAGAATTTTAGGTAAGTAAAGGCTTAGAGTCTATCTAGTTCTGATTGTTGATTTTCTAGAAAATGAGACGCAGAGAGTTTTAGATGACCCTTATTAATTACAGAATCGAATATAGGTATTTTCATGGTTCCTTGTTATATCATAGGTACATAAAGAAGTATTTTAAGTTAGTATCATGTGGTTTTACCATTTATTCACTAAGTATGGTTTAAGTGTCTATTGGATGCTGGATTAATCATTCTTGGAAATACAAATGAGGATAGATACTCCATTTTCCTGGAGCAAGTGTATAAAGTAGTTGGGTTACTAATATTTCATTGCAAGTGGCTACAGACATGGATTTTTTGTGTACATATTTATGGTAACCAGAGGAGTAAAATATCATAGTTAAAAATCTTCTTAGAGGAAATATATGATTTATATTGGTAGGAGTGGGAAGGAGAGAGGATGAAAAAAAAGGTACTAAGAAAGAGTGACAAAAATTCAGGCACAATAACGATTCTGATCCTTTTCATATTCTTTCTTTTGCCTACTTCTTTTCTTCCACTTGCTATTATTTTTAATTCTTTCTTTACTAGATCTTTTCTGCTTCATGTGAAAATGTTCATTACTTCCTTCTTGAAGCTCTAGTCTTTGTCATATGTAACCCCTTATGCTCTGGTTCTTCTCCCGTGATTCTACTTCTTTTCTGTTTTCTTTGGGGGCTCTTTTTTTTTTTAAGCCATTACCTAAATGTAGATATTCCCATGGGTCCATTCTTAACCTTACTCTACAAACATGATTTAATCTACCCTCTTTGTTTCTCATCTGTATGCTTATGAACTTTCTATCAAGCTTTAAACCCATATATCCAAATGGCAGCTGTTACTTCCCCTGGATACCTCATAGCTATTTCAAATCCACCAGTCATTCAAACTAGAAACCTGTAGTTAACTGAGAATCACCCCCATACCACCTTCTTCACTTTCTATATCTAATGAAGTACCAAGCCATGACTGGTTTACCTCCAAAATAATTACTTTTTTCTTATCTTCAGCCTCTTCTTCCCATACTAGTTCAGGCCCTCTACATCTTTCCTAGAGCTTTGCTACTCAAAGTATGGTTTGTGGACAGCATCATTGGAATAACTTTAGAGCTTGTTAGGAAAAAAAAAAAAAAAAGAATTCCAGGCCTCACTGCAGACCTACTGAACCAAAATCTGCATTTTAACAAGCTCTCTAGATGATTTGAACACAATAAATTTTGAGAAGCATTGTTGTAGAATATTGCCACAACCTCCTAACTACTTTCCTTGCCATCAGTTTTGTCTCTCCAAATCTGCCCCAAACCACTAGAATGTTTCATCTAAAGTACACATCTTTCCATGTCATTCCCCTGCTTGAAAACTCTCGTTTCTCTATTTTCTAAGGATAAAATCTAGTTCTTTACCATCTTGTCCTCGTCTCCTTTTTCCAGGCTTATCCTCTGCTACTTCCTGCCATGATCTACATGGGTCAGAACCTAAAAACTCTAAGGTTTCTGAAATCATTGTCCTATTTCTTGTCTCTGTGACATTGTTCGTGTTGCCCGGAACATCTTCATGTCCTTCTTTTAGATGATTTCTACTCATTCTTTAACATACTACTTCCTTGGAAGCCGTTTCACTTTTGTCAAGGCTTATCTTCTGTGCTTCCTTAACCTGCATATCTAATTATCTCTCCATGTATCTTTATCTCTTATTAGAACATAAGGTCTTTGAGGGAAGAGACTTCACTTAATTCATCTCTATTTCCAGTGCTAGAGATAGAAACTAACAGAGTATGCCTACTTCAATAGAGATTAGTTTAATATGTGAACCAGTGAACTATTAATTCTTATATTGAATGCTAACCCTGTGTTTGTACTACTTAAGTTTCCTAGTGTAATTCAACATATCCCCGAAAGTTACAGAGATCTGTGTTTTTATCTAGGATTTTAAAGAATGTTGATTTAGGCAAGTGTAGAAATAGAAGTCATAGGCCTTCTGAAAGTAGTAGATGTTTGGAGAAATCACAAATTTCCACGTGGTAGAGGTCTTTTTCTTTTTTGTATTGTTGGGCTGAGGGTATCTGAAATAAATGGCTTCTAGTTTAGTGGCATTAGGTAAAGTTGGAACTGAGTCAGTTATGAGGAATGTGTGCAACTCTGAAAGGAGAGTCATTTTAGTTCTCTGAAGTTTCAGTGTTATTAGAATAAGAGAAAAAGTTTTGGGTGATATTTTTATCTGACTGGAGAGGGGTTGATGATCATCAGCATAATGTAATCCAGACATTGAAGTAAATTTACACAAGCCTCTGAAGGTAGAGCTCAAAGAAAAGATTTTCAACCTTTCATTGACTATTTCATTTTTGAGAATATTTACCATTTGAGGATTACAAAGTACTGGAGAATTTAATTTAGGTAATGAGAATTACAAAGAACAGTAACAGCAGAAGCCCATATTATAAATGAGGAAGTGATAAGACAAAAATAGTTTAATATGTGCCACCTTAACTATTTCACTCTCCACTCATTTTCTCCATTATTTCTGTCTCTGCCTTCTTTTCCATCTGCTATTGTATATATGTTTCTACTCTATCTAATCTCTTTCTTCATCCTTCTTACTGTTTCTTCGTGTCCCTTATCCAGCCCAGACCTTTTTAGCACAGGAATGGCTACCATAACGATATGGAACTAAAATATGCATGCATTTTTTAATGTATTATATTTGTTTTGTTTATGTTACTAATTTCTAGCCCCAATATTGCACTTAGATGTCTCACCTTCACCTGTAACTCAAAGTATCTAAAATTGAATTAATAATCTCCTCTAAAAGCAACTTGAATTTTCCGTTTTCTCTCTTTGCCAGTAATACTACTATTTGTCACCTACACATCAAACTTTGAGGGCTTTGATTACTTAATTCCCTATATCCTGTCCATCAGCTAGTCTTACCAAGTCTTCTTAGAACTATTTTTTCTTCATGTAACCTTCCAGTACATTCTCACTACCATAATCTCACTTCAATGCTGCAAAAATCTTCTGAACGGTGTTACTTATAATTCATTGTTATTCTGTCATTCTCTAGCAGCAGGATTTCAACCTTGGATCAGTTGCACAGTCCACATTTTCTACTTTTATATTCAGGATACTGAGTGATGCTATGGAAAATTATATAAGGCAAACTGAGCAGCTCTACAGAGTCTTGGTATCCAACCTGTATGGACTTTTAGTCCTACTTAATTCTTTTACTTTTCCTTTCAGCAATGATTTTTAAATTTACACCACTCTGCAAGACACCCTTCCACTGTTCTACAGTCTCACCCTCCTCACACCTGTAAGGCAAGCTTATTCCTTATTTCACCAAGAAAAAATTGACCATCAAATGTGAATCACCAAATCTCTTGCCTTAACCAAATCATATATATACATATATATGTATATATTCATTCTTACTGCCTTCATTATTACTCCTCAACTCACTGCCACTGATGCACATTCCTCCCTAGCCCTCCACAGCACTATTCCACCACTCCACTGAACTTACTCCTCACAGGGTCATGGTGACTTTTAAACTTCTAAATCCAATGGTTAGCTTGACTACATTCACTAATCACTCCTCTTTTAATCTTTACTTCCTGCCTAGCTGGAGTGGCTCAGGCTTAGTTGGTTAAGTGTCCTCCTGTGTACCAAAAGGTTTGCCAGTTTGCAGTTTGATTCCCAGTCAGGGCACATACCTGGGTCGCAGATTCAATCCCTGGTCAGGGCATGAAAGGAAGGCAACCAATCAAACTCTCTCTCTCTCTCTCTCTCTCTCTCTCTCTCTCTCTTTCTCTCTCTCTCTCTCCCTCCCTCTCTCTTTCTCCCTTCCTCTTTCAAAGCATGTCCTAAGGTGAAGATTAAAAATAAATAAGCAAGCCCGGCCAGTGTGGCTCAGTGGTTGAGCATCAACCCATGTACCAAGAGGTTGCCAATTCGATTCCCGGTCAGGGTACATGCCCAGATTATGGGCCAAATCCCCAGTGGGGGGCATGCAGGAGGTGACCAGTCTGTGTTCTCTCTCATTGATGTTTCTATCTCTCTCTCCCTTCCTCTCTCTCTCTAAAAATAAATTTAAATTTAAAAATAAATAAATAAAATTTCTACTTCCTTAGTTCCTTTGACATCACTCTCTCCTGTTCATTGTTATAACTTTGACCTTTACTTCATGACCTTTACATGGCCCCCTCCTTCTCTGCCATCTTAGTTTAAAGAGTGGCACTTTCCAGGGTTTTATCATTATGTTGCTATTCCAATGCCCACCCATCCATTGTCCTCAGATCTCATCCACTCTGATTATTTTAACTACCCCTATGCTCTGACTTCTCCAAAATCACTCTGACCTATCTTCTACTTTTCAAACTCCTATATCTAACTGCCTGTTGGACACTTTTATATGGAAATATAACATATATCTCAGACTCTTTGTACCCAAACTTGACCTCACCATTGCTTATTCTCCCACTTTCTAAAATAACACTTCCTTCTGAAGTTCTAATTTCAGTTAACAGGATCACCACCTACTCAGGTGCCAAGATAAGATGCTGAGAGTTGTTTTAGACACTGCAGTATTCCTCCTTTTCCCTTATATCCCACATTCAATTAGTCACGAAGTTTTGCCAGTTTTAATGCTAAATAGTTCACCGATCTCCCTGTTCCTCTCGACCTCTACTGTGAACTGTGAACTTTCTAGCCCATTCCAAGCTCTTGTTTGGTCTATATTTACATAACTGTGGTCTCCTTACTTCCAGGCTTGATTCTCTTAAATTCATCCTTCCTATTGTAGCTAGAGGAGAGATTTCTGCTTAAACCACTTTAAGTTCCCAGTGCACAAAATAA